TATGCCTTTGTGTGCCATGTGTGTGTGTGTGAGAGAGAGAGAGAGAGAGAGAGAGAGAGAGAGAGAGAGTTGTCACTCTGCAGCTGCTCTTTCCAAACTCGTTCTTGCTTCTGCTGTGTCACTGGTAAGGTCAGTTCCCCTCCCGTACCCAGCCCTGTGCCCTTTGGACAGGACCACACTGTGAGAACCAAAGGTCTTCCTGCCCCTCTTGACTTCCTACCCTTCCTCCTCTCAGAACATGCTCAAAGAATCAATAGCACCAAGCCCAGAGGACCCCAACGACTGGTAGAGTCACAGTGATGGTGGAAGCTCTTTATAGAAATAAGGGAGCCGGGCGTGGTGGCACACACCTTTGATCCCAGCACCCGGGAGGCAGAGGGCAGGCAGATCTCTGTGAGTTTGAGGCCAGCCTGGGGCTTCAGGGAGACACTGTCTCAAAAAGACAAAAAAGAAAGGAAGACAGACAGACAGACAGAAAGAAAGAGAAGAAGGAGGGAAGGAAGGAAGGAAGGAAGGAAGGAAGGAAGGAAGGAAGGAAGGAAGGAAGGAGAAATAAGGGGATGAGAGCACAGCGTTGGGAAAGGATAGTGGACAAAGTGGGATGCCCCAAGCAAGGAGCTCATTCTGTGGCCTATAGGACAGAGGATCCAGAGGTGTTGTGTTTGAAGTCAGAGTTCACCATGACCTAGAAATGAGGGAGAGTCTGTAAGGACAGGAAAGGAGGGCAGTGGGGTGGGGGGCTTCAGTAGCAGAGAAGATGCTGGGACCTCGCAGACTCTGTCCACCAGATCAGACCATGGGAGGAGAGTCAGTTCCCCGGCTGCCCACAGTGCCCCACACTGGGCAAGGATGCTGTTTGGACTCTGGCTCTGACCACGTGGGCAGGTGACCTTGGGAAAGTCTTTGGACCTTCGTCCCAAATATCACACATCAGAGGGAGAGAAGGAGGAATTCTGACATAGCCTGGATATGGTCGGTACAGCCTTTAAAGCAACTTGTGGTAAATGGAGTTCCCGTGACCATTGAGGATGACAGACCTGATGGGGGGAATTTCCCACCCACCACCAAGCACACTGGAGTATATGGGGAAAGAGACACTGTCTTAGAGATAACCACTCACAGGAGGGCTCAGGATGGAAGATTCCTGATGTCCTGGGCATGTCCTATGGGAAGGAAATGGGAACAATGCCTGTGGGTACAGAAAGTTCCAGAAGCAGAATCCATACCTGTCTAGACAGTGGATTCTCTCCTCTCAGGAGATGGGCCACAGGGCCTCTTGAAATTCATCAAACCCAAGGACCAGGGTGTTCTCAAGAGGTCTTTGAAAATGGCCACTTAGGCTAATTACCTCCTGGAGACCCTCTAGGTCTCCTATTTCCATGATTCCGTTAAGAATCCAGGAAAGGAGTTGAAGAGATGGCTTGGGGGTTCAGAGCACTGGCTGCTCTTCCAGAGGGCCAGGGTTCAGTTCTCAGCATCCACATGGCAGCTAAGAACCATCTGTAACTCCAGTTCCAAAGGAGTTCTTTGGACCTCTTCTGGTCTCTGAGGACTTTGTACACCGCTAGTACATTTACATCCAGGCAAAACACTTATATACATAAAAATAAATAAATAATAAATAAATAAATAATTAAAAAAAAGGCGAAAACCAAAAAGGGAAAATCTGGGGGACACATGATCAATCCCTGTGGTACAGGGAAGTCCCGGGGTGCAGTGAGTTCAAGGTCAGCCTGGTCTACAGAGTGACCTCCCGGCCACCTGGGGCTACAGGGAGATCCTGTCTCAAAGCAATGAAGAGTTAACTCTCATTTAAAACCTCAGCAGCCTCGAGGGCGAAGGGGAATGACTGGGTCTTCTGTTTGTGGAGTGTTTTTTTTTAATTTACTTAGACAAGCCACTGTCTGAGGACCACGTAGTGTACAGCAGTGCAGGTACCCACCATTACGGTCAGGAGCCTCTAAGGCCCTCTGTCTGTTCTCCCTTTCCCTAAACCTAATCCCTAAACCTAATCTAGGTTTCCTGAGGGACCCACCGTGGAGAGGAAAAGGGAGAAGCCTGTGCCAGGCAGAGAAATCGAAGTTAAACCTCACATTATTTACTTTTCACACAGTGGTCATCAGCTGTAGAACAACCCGAGGGAGGTTTTTGTTTTATGTTCCACAGTTTGCTAGTCAGGTTTTAAGTCAACACAGCAGTTTTAAGCTCTTTGGTCAGCACATGGCTTAACTTGCTCAGAGAACGTCTGCACATTCCTACGTACTTGCTGATGCCCTTTTCCTTTTCATTCAAAGAGATGAGGTAAGAGAGGACAGAGAAGGCACTGACGGAATCCCTGTGGCTAAATAACAGCATAAGGTGAAGATTCAGTCTCCTCCAGAGGAACGTTTATAAAGTCTCCTGGAGCCAGCTACCAGAGGTCAGCTCCAGAAAATCTGAAAGGATTCTTCTGTTAGAAGTGTATGGGAGGACCTTCCTCGTTAGTGAGAAGGAGATAAAATTAGCAGCCCGGGGAGCTCAGCCTCACTAATTTTGGCCATTCCCTCACCTGCAAGGACTCTCTCTGGTTCCTCAGTTTGCTGGTGAGGTAACTGTCTTCAATCGATTTTAACTGTATTTCTGTGTCTGGTTTGCTTTGATGCTGCTGATGTTATGAGCGTTTGCTTCCTTCTCCTAGCCTGGTACTGAGGACTGAGCCCCCAGGAGCGGACTGCTCACTAAGACAGCTCATGCAAACCCAGAGAGCTATCCATCCAAACACATGCATGAATACGTACACAGAATCACAAGAAATACGGGTGGTCACGACGACACGAGTCCTTAAGGACACAGCTCCTCAACTGTCACGCTCAAAGATACGAATGCAAATGCGGAATTTATGATATTCAATCAACTCAACGGAATTTAAATGAACGGACAAAAGCAACGAGGCCAACTTCCATGTACCCGACACTCAGTCCCATCCGGCCGGAGACCATCCCCAAGCGGGAACGAAGAGAGCAGGGGTGTTGGAGGTGGACACGGGAAGATGATAGAGGATGTGGGGACACAGGGCCAACTCGAGTCGGCCATTTCTAGGACCCCTCTGGCCGCTATGGGGAGTGTGGAAGGTGGGGGCCAGGATAGACACACAGGACTAGGGCCCCACTGTCCACTACCCAGACAGACATGATGCTATCCTGGGGCAGGCTGACAGGGGTGGGGGTGATGGAAAGGGCAGGGCTGGGCTACCGGCAGGATAGGTAGGCTCTTTGGTGGTGCGTGGCAGAGGGGTGTCACAGGTGAATGCGGAAGCACCTGAAATTGTCCCCATCTAGAGAGAGGGACATGGGAGAGGAGCAGGTCGGAGGGCAGAAGTCTGACACGGACAGGAGGGACCAGGTAGGCATCCTGGAGGGGCCGTGACAGAGCTTCCTGTTTGCCCCACAGTGGGGGTGGGTTGGGATCAGCCTTTGGATATGGGCAGAGCAGAGTCTCTGGGCAGAACTAGATCCTGAAGGTCAGGAGGTGTCACGAAAAAGCAGATGAGGTGACTGAGACTGCTCGGCTGGCCAGACGTGAAACGCAGCAATCCCTCAGTGCAAACGAACCCTCTAAGCTGGCCTGATTGGTTGCCGCTTGATGGCCCCTGGGTGGCCTGCAGCCACCAGGAAAGATCAGAGGCCAAGCACCACCCAGTCCTCACAAGAACGCCATCAGCAGAGGCCTGCCCAAGCTCCCTGGTCCATGCCATTGTCCTGTTCCTGAGACCCCACCCTGTTGAGTGGCTTCCAACTGAATCAATGTCACAGGACATCAAATGCTTCTGGAAAGTTCCACCCTCCTTCAAATACCCAAACAGCCCCAAGGGAAATAACACCAAGGGGAAAGTTTCCAGACACAAAACCATTGTTGAGGGCACGAGGCCGATGGGACAGACAGCCGGGCTGCTCAACACGGGAGAAAAGCAGCACAGATATCCACACGGGAAGCAGAATGCATGCAGCCAGCACAGATATCCACACGGGAAGCAGAATGCATGCAGCCAGCACAGATATCCACACGGGAAGCAGAATGCATCCAGCCAGCACAGATATCCACACGAGAAGCAGAATGCATGCAGCCAGCACAGATATCCACACGGGAAGCAGAATGCATGCAGCCAGCACAGTGCTCTTGGTGCTGAGCACAGGGTCCCGGCTCAGCCTCTGGCTGTGAAGTCTGATAGACTGGCCATTGTCTGAGCCAGAAACAGCAGCCTGCCTGCCATCAGGAGCCTGGGTAAGGAGAAGCCCCAGGCTCTAGGCCCTGCTCTCCTGCCAGGTGGGGCGGCCACAGGCCTCTCAGCCATGAGCTGTGTTCATTTTGAATTAGGGGAAATCATTTTCTTGGATGCTTGGTAGTGACAGGAAAACACGCCACACGGCATCAGGGTGTTCTACAACAGGAAAGCACCCAGAAGTCACGAAATTTGCCAGCTACAGAAGAGAGCTGGAGACTACTCTGTCCTTTCCAAGTGAAAAAAAGCACACCATTCAAGGAAACAGGACTTCAGGGCCCAGAAATCCTTTTGGAACAAGACAGATGGGGTTTCAAGGCAATGAAGAAGTTTCGAGCTGGGAACAGTGGCACCAGGAGTTCAAGGCCACCCTTGGCTACATAGGGAGATTGAAGCCAGCCAGAGCTACATGAGACTATGCCTCAAAAACACAATAAAGGTAAACATTTCAAAGTGTCGGATCCCTGCACTGTCAAAAAAAGAAAAGGAAAAAAAGTAATCTTTGTGCTGGAAATTTCCAAAGTAAACAAAAGTATGACAATGGTGTGATAGACTGGCAAGCAGCAAGTTCAGTGTCTCTCTAAAAGACAGGGTCTGGGCTGGGGATGTGCCTCAGCGGCAGAGTCCCTACCTAGCGTCCATGAGGCCCTGGGTTCAATCCCAAGAACCTCAAAGGAAAAGAAAAGAACAAAAGAAAGAAAATTAAGAACTTATTATCATCTAGAAATACATTTATTTCCAGTAACAGAGAACTGGCAATCCTAAATCAATCAAAATTGGCCAAAGGCAATGATCAACCAGGCCCCTTCCACCCGATCTGGCTCGGTGGGAGCTAAGCACCCCCAGGCCAGGAGGCTGCAACCCTCCCTCCTTGTCCACCTGCTCCGGAGGGTGCTGTCCAGCTGGCAGGGCTCCCTGCCGAGGGAGGGGACAGGCCTGAAGCTGAAGATGTAACCAGACGGGTTTCCTCCTCATTTTGGAGGCTTCACCTGTGTCCCATCATGTCCCAGAGCTGAAGCACTTCAGGCATGTAGGCCACTCGAGGCGGTGGCCTCCCCAGGGGGCGAGGTCGAGGTGGGCTAAGTGGTGCTGGACCTGCTTGAACCAGAGGTGGAGCAGAGTTAACACTTCGGCAGCTCCTCTCAAACCAAGTCCTTCCGGCTCTGCACAGCCAGAGAGACCCAGCTGCAGGCCCCCTTTCTACTGCAGCTGGGAAGCCCAGCTACCGGTTCCGTATTTTCTGGTGGTTTTTGGGAACGGCCGCAAATCTCAGCTTCTTGATGATGGAGGGCCAGCCCAGCAGCCGCTGGTCCCACATGTACTCTGGAGACAGCACCTTCGTGGGCTTGTGATATAACAGGTACTTGTTGAGATGGCTTTCGTCATGCCACACGGCCTCGATGCCGTTGGCCTGGTCTACCACCATGGCCTGGTGACAGGCCTTAGTGAGCTTGCTCACCTCCACCACGGACCCCCCAAAGAAGGCCCCCATGTAGTAAAAGTCACCGTTGTCCCAGGGGATGTAGGCTTGGGACTGGGGCCGGCGCTCGTAGGTGAAGGCCTTGCGCCCGCTGCGGTAGAAGCCGGGATGCAGGGTGCCGAAGAGCGCAGACAGGATCTCCACACCCACGTGGTCCTGGAACTTCATGTCCACGTCCGCACACACCAGGTAATCCACCTCCTGCAGGAAGCGCTGCTCTGAGAAGCGGCTGATCATCTCCATGCGGTGCATGGACACGTCTTGCCAGCGCGTGTAATTGCGTACAGATAAGACCACCAGCTGCCGGTTGGCTCCCAGGGGCACCTGCGGCACGTCAGCCGGCCGGTCAGTGAAGACGTAGTATGTGACCCTGTGTCCTACCATAAAGTGCTGCTCTGCCGTCTCCAGGAACAGCTTCAGAAAGACCACGTACCTGTCGGGAGGACAGAAGGAGGGGGAGGGGCTCAGCTGCAGCCGGATCAGGACCCACCAGGGCCCAGGGTACATGAGCCACAGCCTCCTGAAGGCTGGAAGCAGCATCACCCCCATTTTCCAGCAGTCGGGTACCTCACTTCACCCTCCTCTGCTGCAGACGGGTAACATGGGCAGCACATCTTAAAATGAGTACCAGGGTAGATTCCCTCAGGTACCACCCCCACCAGCAGGCCACCTCTCCATAGGTCTATCCCCCTGCCTATAAAAATGACAGTACCATCCTGACACATCCCCCACCTCACACCCCTGCCCTGGCCAGAGTGGAGCCTGAGCCCACAGGGCTCCCCTTTCTAAGGCTGAGAGAGCACAGAGTGGTCTGAGATCCCCGATGGTCTAGTACCCACACCTCTGCTTTGTTGAGCTCTCTGGTGCCCTGTCTTAGGAAAGTCTTGATACTGTCCTCTGTCAGAGGGTTAAGGATGTCTTATGCACAAGGCCCTGGATAAATCACTTATGTCCCTGAGTCCTGTGAACTCCATCAGAGCAAGAATCAGTTCTCTCAGGGAGGGTAGGGAAGGGGAGACAGGCATCCCAGAAACAAGGGCACGTAAGGACCTACCCAAGACCAACTATGTTGCCTCCCAGCCCACAAGTGTTTGCCTGCTTCAGATGGCTGGCCAGCCCCCAAGGCCATGCACCTCCACCATGGGGACAGGGATCCCCATCGTTTGGCAGATGTGCCAGGCCCCACCCCTCCGTGTCAGAAGCAGACGTGTGGTTGCTTTCCCTGTGCCTGCCTCACACCTGGACCTTCTGTAGATCCCTCAAGGGGACACATCTCATGGGACAACGTGGTAAAAGAGCCCAGGTAGGGTAGGAAGCACCCAAGTACAGGCCAGTCACTGCAAGAGGAGGGGCCACCATGGCGTGCAGCTGGGCTTCCAAAGCCCTCAGAGGCCTCCTTCCCACAGAAAAAGCACCTGCCCACACCTCCCAGGCCTCAGGCAGCACGCAAGGCATGTAGTATGTGTTGTGCTGTGTGATGTGCCGTCTTTGGCCTAGGAGCTGACACCATTCTCAGGGTGCCTTAGGTCCCTCCAGCCACCCCCAGCCTCTGTCAAGTGCAAAGGCCTCACCCAGCACTGCAGGAAGAAAATGCCTCTTCCCACACACATGTGGGCTCTCCTCCCTCAGCCTCCTGCAGGTCCTGCTTCCTACAAGACAAGCTAC